TTTGAGAACTTGGTTATTTTGCCATCCCACACATTCAAGACAATTCAAAGGCGCATTTTGGAGACTCTAATATGTTGTTTTGTTTCACAGCACCTTTAACAAACTGTCGCATTTTTCTGTTAGTTATCAGAAAATTCCCCCAAAATACATAAGCATGCGTGGTGAACTTTGTTTGGTAAATTGTTGTAAGTAGAAACAAGAGAAACGATAACTTGTTTATTGTTCATGTTTTCCATAATACAGGAATTTAATAATTTTTACCGAAGTGGTCATGAAATTGTTATTTCTTTGACAGTTTGGGTCCATTCATACAGGAATTAAGTTAACAGTGAATATAAGTCACTGTATTGGTTGATAGTAAAGTTGTTGCACATACCATAGATGATTACCATGGCAACTGCATACTTAACTCCAAGGTTTACCAACTTCATTCCATTACAACAGTGGAAAATTAACTTAGTGTCAATCAGAGTTTTCTGTGCCCTCCTTCACCGGTTCAGACCCCCTCCCTGGCCAAACACCCGGCAAACAAAGACAACGCTGACCAATGTTTTAAAATGTGAACAGTGCTTTATAAGAACTTCTTAGGTTATACTAATCGGCCGCTTTGTCCTGATTTCAAGTGAACATTTCTTTTATTCTTTTTAAAGCCTTGCTGCTTTCTCTTTTTAACTTTCATTTTCACGGACTAAAGACTCACCAGACACTAGCAATGAACTTGTATGAAAAAATAAAATCTGGAATCCTGGATTAGCTGCTTGAACAACCTATTATTATTATATTTTGTAACTTGGCATGGGCTCAGACATCTCTATTTGATATACTATGGTGCCAGTAGGCCAAATAATCTTGAACAGTTGGCGGATCAAGTTAGAAATGTGTTTATTTTGTGTTACTATAAAGGCAGGTGAGAATATTTCTAGACAGTGCCGAAACTATATACTGCTTTCCAATTGCGCTTAATCCTGCTTAATCTTGAAATCTATGAACTTGAAGGAGTTGGAGATATCGTCAATAACAGCCATTTCACCGGGTTTTACGAAAACTAAGACAATCGAAAACTAAGACCTAAGACCCGTCTCACTGTTTGGAGATTACGAAAACTACCGAAGATCCCCTACAATGGAATCCGTCGAAATATGAAGTCAAATTGTAACCGACATAGGTCTAACCTGTCAAATTATCTTCTGTCCGATTTTTCCCACAGAGTTTTAGGTCAAATTTAACGGCGAATTTACGGGTCTTAGTTTTCGAAATTTCGAAAACAAAGATCCCCCTTAGTTTTCGTTAATACGAAAACTAAGACCTCCTACAAAACCAATCCGTAAAATATATATGAAGCCGAATTACGGCCGTTGAAAGACTATAATCCGTAAAACAACCAAAAACTATCATTCGCGTGCTGACGATCCGCTTCTTCTAATAATTTGCAGACCGTATCAGTATTGAGGCTTTAAAAAGAGGATGAAAAGCCATAGACTACCTGGGTATAATTGTACACTGAAAATATGCCTCACCTTGCCGATTGGTCTATAATTTTGGTTGTTTATCCTTAAAAATCGTAAAATTGGCTTTCCACTGGAGATGGATTTTCGCCTTCGTGTCTCTTAGGCCGTGATTGCGTTATGTATTGTAAAGAATGTACCCTATAGCAGAAAATTCTTGTGTTTTGTTTAATTTTATTTTTTCTGAAATTAAAAAAGCAAAATTTTCAAGATGATGCCATGCTAGTACAGGAAATTCATTCATTCATTGATTTCAGCCAGTATCCCTCACAGACTAGTTCTCCTTGCCCCCACCCTACCCCTCAACTACCCTGACACTGTAACTTTTCACCTGGTTTCCGGTGATCTCCGGGGTGTGGCGTGTAGCATATACTCTTTTTTTTTCGCCCTTTTAATGAATTGAAGCATTTTTCTGGCAATGGCTTGGGCATGGCCAGAAAACGAAAAAGAAAACTGTTTTGTGTGAGATGTAACCGATAACGCCGTTGACCACTAGTGCGACAAACGCGGACTGCAGACTTGCAGACTGGCAGGTAAACGAGGTAAACCTTGTTGTGGAATGCTTCAACAGATTCTATTCTAAGAATCTATTTTAGGGATAGGGAATCTGTTAAAGCATTTCACAACAATGTTTACCTCGTTTACCTGCCAGTCTGCTGTCTGCGTTTGTCGCACACCGGTACGAAGTGGGTAAGCCGGGTCTCCATAGAGACATAGGACCTCCGCCCTTGGACTTAATGTGTTTGCAGCAGGCCAGCGTCTTTGAGCATCCCTGCATCGTGGTATGCACCCTCTGACCGGACCATACAGATTTGCTATCAAAACATTTGGCAGTGCTATAGAATTTTAGCGCATGAACACGCTTGTGCCCGTTGTATACAACGCTCTGTTTTTCTCTAGAGCGGCACATGGGGCCAACCGTGCCGTCAGTGAAATCACAACAATTGGTAAGTGGACTTCCTTGTCTTGTTATAGCAGAGACGTATTCTTGAAGGCAGGCAGGGGTGAGAAATGGCTGATTCTAGGAGGTTAAACAAAACCCTTGTTCATTAAAAACCCAGACTATCATGCACAACTCTGGCACCGGACGTCCAAAAGTTGAAATTAAATCGAAATAGCGGTATGGGTATGCTAATAGTTTTAGCAGTAAACCGACGTCCTTCTAAGCTACTGCAAGCTGTTCCCTGTGGGCACTTGAATCTCGCAGGAATCCGAAATGCATTCAATAAAATCGCAATATCATCCTTGGCCACCCTGAAGTGAGCTTCGCACTCACAAGAGTCGAACACATCCTAACAGAATGGATCAAAATTCCAGTCTGGAAATTGAGGATTAACGGGTTAGTAATAATCGTAAATAATAATAAACTCTTCATCATCGAGAAAACCACCGGCAAAAGCGATTAAAAGGGTGTTTCTAACATCTTCGAAAGAGAATTTCTTTTCCAAGCGCAGCCGTAGTCTAAGTCTTCGTTGTCACGATCTTAACATCAAACAACAGGCCAATTTTCGCGGCCTTTTAGCGTAATCCAGTCCACGCGTGGCTTGGACTCTCACGTCCAGAAGTAGTTCGTAGTCCGTAGCGACCGTATCTTAAAGTCCCTATTACTTGAGCACTACCGACTGAAGATCTCGATTAGAGCATGTATAGCATTCGACGAAGGTTCGCCTATTAAAACGTTCGCTTTTGTAACTCAGCATATGTATTCTTTCCAGATCATGGTATATATTATTCAAGAATTTGTTCATGCTTAGCGTGCGTATATCGAGTTATGGGTGCTCTCCAAACTTCCCAAGTGCATCCATAACTCGATATACTGAGAATGACTCTAGACCGCTCAAGAATAGCGAAGGAAATCGCGATGATGAGTGGAATTTTTGTCGAGGGCAGGAGGCAGACATAAGATAAGAATAAGAAAGATCAGAAAAATCTGTGAAGAAAACTGATCGATTATTGCCCGAAACAGGGCGATCGAACCTTGAAACATAGAAACAAAGAAAGTGGATGAAAATGCACCAATCACAAGTAAACATGTTCCTAAGAGGTCCGCCAAGATGATTGTTGGAAAAAAACCAAAAGTCCTTCGAAGTTTGCACAACGCGCAGCACGATACCACGAATTTGGCTGTTAAGTTTTTTCCTAGTAATCTCAAAAAATAGACACCCCGGTCCCGGAAAGCTTCATTGTCCTTTTTTATTTTTATTAAAAAGATAGCACTGTTATCCATATTGAAGGATGGAGGTTAAGCCCTCTCTCGATCGCAAAATGATAAAACTTCTAACATTTGATAACTCGTTTTCGCCATTACGACATTCTCGCTAAAACTCGTAGTAAAATAATAATCAATAATAATTTAATTCTTATATTGCGCGCTTTCCATGAAATGATCAAGCGCGCATTACATGATTTCTATCTATAATAATTTAATACAGGGTATCTAACTAATAATTATTTAAAATATACTATGATAAAATTTAAATATACAAACCGTAAAATTCCAAAAATATGTCCCGGGCCTTATATTTTTCAAAGGCCCTCTTTGAGGGGCTTATTTTGGAGGGGCTTATATTCGGAGGGAGATTTGCGTTTCAAAATCGATTGAGCTAGCCTTATAGTTGGAAGTAAATTTACTGTTTTTGCTTTGTATTATTTTGTATTTGAGGGCTTATATTTGGAGGGGCGATTTAACGGAGGGCTTTTTGCGTTACCGGGTTGGGGGGGTGTATTTGGAGGGGCTTATACATGGAGGGGCTTATTTTCGGAATTTTACGGTATGTTAAGACACTAGTAATTATCGTGATAAAAATTAATAAAAAGCTTCCCTAAAGAGGTGCGTTTTCAGATGACACTTAAAAATCCCTAGATCTGTAATAGAACGAATCTCACGCGGTAATACAATCCAGAGTGCCGGAACTGCGACCTGGAATGATCTGTCTCCTAATGTAACCCTACTTCTATAATTTTGCGTTGCAAGCAACAGAACATCCGAGGAGGATGTTAAATTATAATTTCCTGATCTTTTAATTGACACAAGTTCTCTTAAAGACGTTGGGGCTAATCCATGGATGGCCTTAAAAACAAATGGTAGAATCTTAAAACTAATGTGTTGCCTAACCGGTAGCCAGTGCAGCTCGTACAGCAACGGCGTTATGCGACAGTAGCGTGGCGCGCGACAAACTAGTCTTGCTGCGGCATTTAAAACGCGCTGAACCTTATTCAGGTGAGAAGCTAGCAAGCCATATAAAAGAATATTACAATAATCTACGCGCGAGGTAACAAACGCATGTACGAGGTTTTATGAAGAATGAAGACGGCTACCAAGTTTTCATGCCAAACTGACGCTGGTTCACGCGCGCGCAATACTGTATTGAAGAAATCTCGTCCTCGTAACCGTACTCGTCTTAGAATCTAAAGGTCTCTAATGTTTATTTTATTGGTAGCTATGGCGACAAGACTCCAAAATCCACACTTGCTCGGGTATATGCTTCTTTGTGGATGATCGTCGGATTGATGTTAATGTCAATCATTACTGCCCAGGTCTCCTCGACCATCACCTCTGAAAACCTGCGCTCCTTGGATGAAGAGTTTGGCAAAAAGGTACAATAGCCACTTAAGAATTTATATATTTTTAAAAGCTTTAACAAGGAAACGAAGAAACTCTAAGTCATATCGGCAAAGCCCGATACAGCCTACAAACACTAGTTGAATGATCAGATTGCTTCTTTTTATATGTTTTTTTCTAAGCGGTATACGTGGTGTTTTAACCATCGGACGTAAAATTCACCCCAACCCCCCCCCCTGGTTCCGGGGGGGGGGGGATTTCGAAACGATTTTGCCTTCAGTGGAAAGCCTTTGATCCTCTCAACAAGGTGAGGTATATTTTATGGGTGGTGGCGCTGATAGAGACCGCCATCTTGGATTTTACCAAGAATTAGAAATCAGGTTAAAATCCCGAGAAATGGTAATTTTTTGTACTTGACATGTAAAATAACACATGAATAAGCACTTTGCATCATTTTGTTCGCAAGTTTTGCTCTTAGTATTGAAAATAGTTGAAAAAACATACATTTTCACTCAAAAATGGCTTGATCACCTACGAATTACTGAAATGGGCAGGTGCTGATGTTTTCTGTCAGAGAGGGGGCAACCACCCCTTGTTGTACGTCCGAGCCGAGGATTAACACACCAGAAGACACCAAGTCGGAAACAAAGCTAACATGCTTTCTTTACTCTTTCTTCATCGCTTAACTTTCAATTCTCGGATGCAAGTACGAAGTACACCATAATCTTTCCAATTCTTCCGGGAAGCAAGCTTGACGACTCCCTAAAGCAAAACATCCAATGAATTAATGAAACTATATATACTACAGACGGTTTTGGAAAATGTGTCAGCACTGAAAATTTTAACAAGAACAATAAAAAAACTGATATTTGCCTTTCGAAGTTGACCGGCGTTCAAAACAAACCCGTTGTTCAGCTGCTGACAAAGTGTACGGGAATCGAAAAATAACGAAGAGGAGGCACATCTCATAGATCAAGTATTTTTTTTTTGCATTTTGTTCCACATTGTTTAAGGTGATGAGTACAATGTTTATTTTCAACCGTTGTCATGTTCACGAAATGGCAGTTTTCATTTAGAGCACAGTACGATTGAGAGCACATTTCATAGAATTTAAGGTTTAATTGTTATACTTGAAGACAAAATGCCAAAGTGTGAGAGAGAAAGACTAGCACTATGTGTTACAAGGCGATAGGCTACTTGCACTAAGAGGTCACGTGACCAATGCTTCCTTTAAACAATGAGTCGGAATCTTGGTGATGCTAAAAATTGACAGAGCACATAAAAATTACCTTACACCCGAAATTTGAGAGGAAACGCATTTAAGGGAGACATTTTATGGCACTTTGATTTTTCAACAAAGTAGTATGATTTGTATTTGCCGCCAAGTTGGAGGGCATACTCTTGCCCTCCAACATGGCGGCCAAAACTACTTTTTGCTTATATCTTGTTGAACGTTTGATAGTTACTCTCAGATATCCTGTAAACGTTACCACATCAACTTTTCAACATTTTCCTTGACGTTTAAGTGCAAAATTTGTGTTCAGAAAGAGGTAATTCATATTTTTAAAAATCACATTTTGGTCGAGTGACCAGCTACGAACTGACTCAATTTAAGAAAATGGTGCGGGTTTGAAAAACCAGATCACTATTATTACATTATTTTGTTTAAGATGTGACCCACTAATCGTTTTTCGAAGGCAAAATCAACTTTCATTTTCATAAAAACGTTGTCACATGACCTTTTAGTTCAAATGGCATATTTGTGAACGACAAACAAAGGATTCGCCCCATGTAAGGGAATCCAAGAGGATCCTGGATTTTGGATTCCATACGGTGGATTCCTGATTCCAGGTACTGGATTCCAGTCTTTGTCAGTGAAACTAGGATTCTGGATTCCAAGGCTAGCGTTTAAGTGGGAATACAGATTCCTTGAGCTGTATTCCGGATTCCACAAGCACTTTTTTTCGGATTCCGAATTCCATAGACCAAAATTTCCTGGATTCCAAAATCCGGTTGCCCTTACAAAAAGATTCCTCTCCATCAGCCTCAGGGAGTGCAGCACCATTGTTTTTATCTTTGACGTTTACTCAGCCCAAAAAGGTTAGTTTTCTGTTCCTTCAGCTATTCCTTTATTATTGATGTATTGATATCTAAATATGCTCTTCGTAATGCTGCATAATTATTCTAAAAAAATTGAAAAGGAAAATTCGCATTTGACGGGTCCAGAGTGATACTTTCCAGGTTCATTAATCACAGTTTAGCCATTTCGTGAACACCTAGTTTTTGTTTGACTCTTTATTTTCTGACTATCTACAGTTTCAATCTCTTTGCTCGTTCGCAGCTTTATCATTTAAAGATTTCCTTCCTAGATTGGAGTTCCAAAGGGAAGCAAAGAATTTTTTACGAAAAGCAGCTTTGAAGCTCATTCAGTGACTGGTAAATATACTTTTTTCTAATGATTTCTTGTATAAGTTTTTAATCTAATTTAGTTTGTGTATATAAGGAAAAATTAAACTTAAAAACGTTACTCAACGTTTCGATGTTTCAAACACCGTTATCAAAAGTGAGAAATGTTAAGTTTCAAAGTTGTTTAAAGAGCTGAAGTTTGAATCAATTAGACTGTATTCGTGCATGCTTCATTGTTCTGTACGTTTTTTTTTCAATAAAAGTTTAACAATAGGTGCAGTTGAACGGGACACTTTTACCGTGGTAAATTACCGCCTTTTACGGCGGAAAATTGGCGTGGTGCGTGTGACGGGACTGTCCCGAGATAAATTTACCTTGGGAAATATCCATGGTTACGTCAAAAAGAAGAAAGAAACTGCCCATGACATTTAACGTGGTGAATAGCTGGTGTCTTTCGATACCCAAGCCAAACAGAGCCAATCAGGTTTCCTCATTTAACACCAACATGAAACCGCAAAAAAATAGAATTTGTTTTTCGACCTTTTTGGCTAATTTTACCTCTTTGAGCTATTTTGAAAAAATAGCTCATTTGTCAGTGTGGTCGGAGTGTATGTATCTTTGTGGCTGTGTGTGTTATGATGAGTGTTGCAGGGGCCAATAAGGTTGAAAGTACTATGATTTTGATGCTAGGAACCAATGAGATCTTGCGTCTAAACCATGACATTGCCAAAAGCCAAACAAGGGCACTTTGAGACTGCCATCTTGGTTCTTCACAATTGTTATTTTTTCGTCTTCTATTACGGCTAAAGGAGTTTAGAAGCATAACATATACATATTGATCTTCATGTTTTAAACACTAAGCACAGTGATGGAGCTGTTTAGGGGGTTCGTGTTTTTGTGTGGGTGTTGCTTCAAGACATTTCTTTGCAAGAAGGTTGCTCATGCTCATGTTTTTAGATGAATTGTTTTACCGAAACTAACGTGCGGTCTTCCTGTATACTCCTCCTCAGTAACTGAATTAACAACGGTCCAGAATTTTCTACAGCGTTGCTTTAAACGCAGCTATATTTCGTACCAAAATGACATATATGACGTATAAGAAGAGGTAGATAGCTCACTGTTCAAGAAGATCTCCAGTATGCCCAGTCATCCTCAGTCTCTACCCTTCCCTCCTCAAAACGAAAGAAAGTTCAGCTCGCCTCCGAGTTCCTAGCAGTCAACTCCCTAGGGTTAATACTTAGCGTTTTAGAAGTAGTTTTTTTTAATAGGCTATTTTTCAAATATAAAGTACCTATTTAATGTAATGTGGATCTTGAATGTTAAATTCAATGCTTCGACGGGGAATTTTTTTAAGCCTTCTAATTCTTTCTGCTATTTTTAATGTAAGTGTTCTTGGTTTTAGCATGTATTTTTGCTTAAAAAACAATAAAGACGCATATTTATTTATTTATTTATTTATCTCTGACCTAATTTGGCTATCGCGAACGGTACAACGCACGTATTTCATAATTTATGAGTTCTGTTTCACCTGCTTCAAGTAGAGTATAAAAGAACAGTTTTTCAAAGATCTTCAAATGAAACGTTAATAATTGATATTTAGATATGGACTTTAGTTCGGAAGTATGCGGCCTATAATTTGTGGTTTTAGAAGTTTGAAAAGCAGCTTATTTTTTTTGAAAGCTGTACCGAGTAGTTAATCCTGTAAACAAGCTTTATTCTCTCGCTTAAAGAGTTCAACAGACATTTTTCGTCCCGGCAAACGTGAATTAAGTGAACAACATGATACATGCTTGCTTCCTAAGAGTCATTACAGTTATTGAAACGTATTTTTAACTTAAGTAAAAACAATTAGCGTTAGGGAATAAAATAGGGTTTTCCGATTTAGCGGAAGTTCTTCGGAAGTGGAAGTAGCCAGTTACAAATGAGTTAAATTTCTAACCTTTCTGTACGTGAAATTCGTTTAACGCCGACTACTGTAAGTAAATTGCTGGGTTGTTTACAACTTGCACTTCACGAAACCAACTGCGGCGCTCAACTTTATATTATTCTTGCAAAGTTACATATAATTCGACTCACCAAGAAAATCAGGATTCAAGGAAGTAATTTCCATGGTCAACTCTTTAGAGTCTGAGGCTGAAGAAGGCGAGAAAAAAAATGGAATATTCCTCTTCAGCTCCCAACAAATCACAGCACGTAAATACGTGGTAAAACGTAGCAAAAATCCCAATAGACTGTGAAATTCGGGCTTTTCACTCTCAGAGGCAAAGGTGTTGAAGTATGGAAAGCGATAATATTTCTAATGTTGGGTCTTTATACGGAACGTAGGAAGAAGGTTTTCACCGTATTCTTTCTACCATCAAAACTAAGCAGGCACTCAGCCTAATTTGTTTAAACCTTCATTTTGAAATAGCTTTAAAAGTGTGTTGTTTCAAAGAATAAGCATGTAACATATGTGCTGCTTTGTTATTCTTTTGCTATTCAATAAGTTGTCATATATGAGGGTTTCTTCTGCATCCCGCAACTTAGTGGGAACTTTGTGGATTGCACCAATTGTGTGTTTCCACTTGACCTCATGGCGGCCATATTTGTGTCCCAAAACAATGAAACGGCGGCCATGTTTGTGTCCCAAACCAGTCCTGTGGGAGTTGAACTCTTTTCTTATGTAAACGCTCTCTTTTGTTCCAATAAATTTGAATAGATGCGGGCCACGTGAGTGAAAAAACAGAATAACTATGATTGCACATTCTGCAGTTTGTATAAATTTATTGAGCTTTTGCCATAGTTTTCAACCCTCACCCTAACCCACAAAATGCGCAGAGTCGAATAGATATCCACAAGTAGACGAAATTGCGAGATACGATCGCGATGCCTGAAGACTTCCCACCGTTTTTCCCAGTTTGTAGGAGAGGAGAAATACAATGTTGTTCCTTTTCTGTTTATAAATTATCTCAATCGATGAGGACAATGAAGACAATGAAAAAGATTCTTATTTACGTTTGACGTAGCAAATATAGAAATAACCTGCGATCAGGCCTGCCAAATTAAAGAAAATGGAAAAGTCTAAGGACCACCTGATCGCAGGTTAATGAAGAAAAATCAGATATCGTGAGAGATAAACATTCCCCCTGCCCAGGATATCATCCAGTAAACAAAAGCAGAATTGTTTACTTTTTCCTTGTTAGCGTATATGCTTTATCTTTTTTAAACGACTTTTAAAAACCGTTAGCACCGAGGGTGACTTCATTTGCAGCATATGCGTATCGGCCAAATGCGACTGCTAGACGCAAATACTGCAAATGAGTCCCCTTGTTTTTAAAAAAATTTACCAAGCATGTTTGTGTTCATGTATCCTTTTACGAGCAAGATATTTTTCATAAACAATGACATCATGTAAAGATTTACTTATAACGAAAAAAAAATCGAGATTACCTTTTACAGTATAGTCACCAATTTCACATCTCGGAAAAATGGCTCAAACTTCCGCTAAATCGGAAAACCCTAATTGCAAGAAGCTAGTTGACAAAAATGATTACATATTGTTCAATTGAGCGGAATAACATGAGATGAGTAGGAATATATTTCAGCAGTTTGATAATTTTCTTGGAAGTAAATAAATGTTAGGCTATCAGCCTTAACCTTACATGAAGCATCATTTAATTGCAGATGTTGTAAAGCCGAGGTGATTTCTTAAAATCATTTGAGCAAATTTGCTAGTAAACAATTTGCGTTCTTTTACTAACGAATCGTAAAAGAGACAAAGTCCAACATCTTCACGTGCAAATTGTGTGCATGAGTTATTTTTATAATCCTGCTTACTAGATTACTTGACAATTAATGAATGAGGCTGAGTATCTTGTGAAGAATTATGGAGGTCGAGGAGGGCGAGATCTTCATAATTCTTCATAAGATACGAAACCCAAATTCAACAATTGTTTTATTATTCATTCAAAACGATCCCTAGTTTAAAAACATAGCTAAAACATGCTTACCTCCAACAATGTTTATTTCATCTTCGATAGTGCACGTTTAGGGTTTAGCTGTTTAGCTGTTGTTCAGCTCCGCAAATATTCTCCAAATAGCAGATGAGCAGATGTCGCCCTTCGAGTTGCTTTCATAGTGTTCTTGCCATGTTTCTAGCTATTATTTCGCCTAGTTCTTACTCTTGAAACGAGTGAAATGTCCGCCATTTTTGTTTTCACTACCAAAGCAACTCAACCTCGTCCCTAGGTCTTCTCGGTTAACGGTGCAGTAAGCTGCAAGAAAGCTGCACTTTTGACGTCATCGCTTCATTAAACGCAAAATTCTTCCAAATTTGGTCATCAGTAGCTGGTTATGGTGAATTATGCTTCCGCTTTTAGCCAATCAGAATCGGGGAAATATTTTGAATGAATAATGTGTAATAACTCGAATTCCCTCACGTACGAACCACGAAAGGGGCAAACTTTGTGACTGTACATCTCATGCAGACTGGCTTTTCACAGTAATAACTGTAACTTGAATCGAACGTATGAAGATATTTTTAGTTTTGTAACTAGCGCCTTAAGTTAAAAGGCTTTTTTCTTTTAAGAAGCAATAACATATACCACTTGTAGAGTCAAGACGTCCGGGCTAAAGACTGTTTAATTAAGCAGAATCGCACGTGACAACCTCGTAAATAATGATGATGCAACTATCTACAACAATGATGAAAATCGTGACATTTCTCAGTTATTTGGTCTTCGGCAATTCAAGCTTCATTATTTCATTCGAAACCATAAAAGAAACCTTGAAATCCTCGAGTCTTCCCACTAAGCAACGCCTGGTGAGTTGATATTAATATTCATAGTACTTTAACAATTTGTTTATTTTGCTACCAGATGTCCGAAGGAAAGACTATTAACAAAAAGTCAATCTATATAGTATGAGGATCGGCTCAGCTGTGCGTAGCGTTTCGCGTTTTCGTTAATGTACAGCAATACCCAATTTCGCACAAAAAATGGTCAAAATTAGGATTAAAACAGTAGATTGTTGATACGGTTACATTAAAGCATCCAAAATAGCTCATGGACGTTAAACGTGCCTATGTTTAATTAAGGTGGGCCTATTAATATAGGTATCTTCTGAATTCAAAATATCAAAAAGTAATTTGCGGAGTGTTTGTTTTGAATTTATTCTTAGCATGATGTCGGGTGTGACATGGTTTTCATTGTCAAAAAGAAAAACAATGTGCTGTATAGTAGCTAATATAATTTTGTGTATGGTAATATAAAGTCTGGTGCTCGAAAAGAACCTCAAAGGGATTGATATGGGGATCCATTGGCTCTGACGAGCTAAAAATACGTACACATAAAGCCTTAAAGCACCCTTAATCTCGCTCGACGATAGAAAAGAATCTTTAAAATTCATTAAAATTCATTACACCACTGGACGTTTCATCCAATTACACTGGTTTTTTATGACGATAAAGGGATCTTACCAACGCTAAAGATATGAAATTGGAACAGAATATCCCTGAGAAATTCTTTGCTCGCCATTTTGAAAGTCAATGACGCGAAAACTGACGTTATATACTGGCACGAGGACTGCATCACCGATTTTCTTGGAGATACTTTCCCCCTGATTATGACAAAAACATCGTATATTTATTGTTTAGAAAAAACTATAACTAGCAGAAACACATTCATTTTCTTATCTTGTTTGAATGTGCTTTTTTCATTTGTGCATTTTCACTCTATGTAGAATATTCCACAGAAAAGGATCTTTTAGAGAGCCTTGAAAATGGAATTGTGGACCAGATCTGGCTGTTTGAGTGCAACGCTAAGCCAAACTTCTCGCTCATGGTTGTAAAAGTGCATAATGAAGCACCAGATATCGGGGTACAAATAACGACACAAGCAAAAACAGAAGATGGTCCGAATTTCCCAGACTTGGATTATATAAATGATTATTCGGAAAAAGAAGAAGGTGATCATAATGGTCATGATGATGAAGATTTGGAACGTCCGTTAAATGGGTCTCTGGTTGAATTTCCCATTCAATGGCATGGTCCAGATGTAAGAAACTTTCATTTTCTGTTTTATTTTAGGCATCAGTTGTGTTATTGTCCCGAATTTTCCGATACGAAAACGCCCATTCTGCATGAGCTAAGTCGCAAGAAAACTGCAAAGATTGAAATAAGTACTTTAAAGTTAGTCCTTACCATCGCTAGCCCCCTGACCCGTCTTGTGGCGTGTAAACCACCTCCTCCGACTAGCGTCACAATCTTTCTCTGTCACCCACTGCCCACTGATTTTCTTTCGTCCCAAGTAAGGCAATCCTAGACAGTTTTGGAACCTGGATTCCAAGCCGTGGATTCCGGATTCTACGTACTGAATTCCAGTCTTTGTCAGTGTAACTTGGATTCTGAATTCCAACAACAGTGAATGATTCTCTCTGGATTCCAATCGTAAGTGGGATTCCGGATTCCTTGAGCTGTATTCTGGATCCCAAAGCTCAGGATTCCGGATTCATCAAGCAAAATTTTCCCTAATTCCGTACAGTTCATCATGCAAAAATTCGGCGGATTCCGCCGGAATCCAGATTCCCTTTAGTCCTGATATTCAACATTGACAAACGTCGTTTTCCTCTTATCCCCCGTCTGCGCTTTAAGATGATTTCGACCGGACCACCAAAGAAAGAAACGCTTTTTGAAGTTTAGGGTTTCATTATATTGCCTTTATTCTAATTTAGGTAATTCGTCAGTAGCATGTAATAATAAAAGATAGATCCAAATACACTTTGATAGACTTTGTCTAAATGTTAATAAGATCATCGTTTAATAAGCGTTTGAAGAGGTGTGAGTGTCGATATATACTATCTTGGAGAACCCATCATGTTAGCAAAACATTCACAAATTTTCCAGTGCGGTCTAATAAGCGTAAAATACGAAGAAGGTATTAGCTGGTTGATAACTTACAAGTGTAAACATAAAGGATTTAAAATCGGGTGTTCCCTGTCAATTTTATCTTGTCAGTGGACCGGCGAGACCCGAATCAGGAGCATTCTTATAGTCTAATGCTCTAGCCAATCCACTCTGCTTTCTTCAATTTAATTTCTTATGTATTTGAATTCGTTTTTATCTTCAACAGCATCGCTGCTTTGATTTGTTCGACAATGGCAAATCCCGTGGCAGTCTGAAGAAAAATACGAAAAAGAAGATGGAATTGATCGATTACTTAATGTGTGGCTTGGCGGGACTGCTGGTTGTTCTTTTCATTGTGGGAGCACTGGCAGAAACCTGCTTAAAAGGGCTAAAAACAAAAACAAAGAAGCCTCCTGAAGGTTCGTTTTACATTCTTAAGATACGTAAAAGATTGTCTTGACAAGCTCTTGACCCGAACTCAGCTGACATAAGAGCGTCAAAACCGAGGCGAAGAGCTACAACAGTAGTGTGCGCCAGCGCACTAACTTAAAAAGTCATTAAACCGTTTTCTTCACAATGAATTTAACAATAAATAAGTCTTGCATGATATGATATGGTTAATAAGTAATTCCTGTGACATACGAATTAACGTCTAGTGACCAATCTAACCAGTGAACGTATCAAAACAAAAATAGCATCCTCCAATCAAACGATGTTCAAAGGAGATCATGACCAAACTTGAGTTAAAATGAACGGCGGACTTGTCCATGCATGTCATTTGTCTCTAAATATTTTGAGCAGTGACGTTTGCGGCAATAGGTTACAGCGGTAATATAAGCTTTGGTTACCACTAAGAAGGGTTTACGGGATTAGGTTATTAGCCCACCGCCCGCATCGCGCAGAATGCAGGGACATCATTAATTATTCATAACTAGCGAAGCGGCAAATTTGAATGCGAGTTGGCTGGGAAAAGCTCCAATAAGAGAAGAAAGAGCTGAAATTGGTCCGGTAGCGCTGACAAAACTTGCTTTCAGTGCTTTCCAAAAGCCGAATCCTAAAAACCTAGGTGCGGCTTCTGGAAGAGAAATTGTGTACTTACTATTTGAATCTAAACCGAAAAAGACGAACAAGCTAAGAGTAAGCATTATCCCCTTTTAACTTGAAAATACAGCAAGAATGGGCTTTCTTAGTATGGACTCCAGGCACTTTTGAAAGGACAATTTTCGGAAAATTTACGCTGTTTTGAAAAAGCCTACACGCGGCTTTTGAAAGTTGGATCTTTTCCCGAACAGAATCCATTTTAATTTGAAAATCGCTTGAGTAGAACCACTATCCCTTTCACTTTGAAAACTTCTGGTAGGAGATGTTTTCGAAAATGGCGCGTCTCGAGCACGCGAGCTATCATATTGTCTTAGGCCCACGAGTGAATAACAATGGTTGTCAAGACTGATACAATGCCCATTAAAGAAAACCAATCAGTTTCAAAATAGTTCACTATCGCCGCGAATTTTAAAGACCAATTCAGTGCATCATCTGAATCATTCGAACTGCCGGTCAGATCTCGCAATAAATAACGCGGAAATCGAGAACATCAACGATCGGTAGCTCTTTTCAGAACTCTTAGACAACGCGATCAACGTTTCGTATCCGCAAGGTGCCTCACCTCCTTTTGTGGATGTAAAAGATTTCATTTTCTGGGGTCTTCATAAAAACGGAGAAGCAATCTGGGAATGGCGGTAAGTTTATGGGCGGCTCCAAGATGGAATTTGATTTGCTCCAACGAAGTATTTTATCGATTTTTAATACTAGGATACGAGCTGCTGAACTAATCTCGGGAACGTGTTGGCAACGTAGTAGCAGTGAGCATCGGGCGCTCTTGCTTTCCTCTCATTACAAAAAGTGAACCTACTACCCCGACATTAAGGTTAATATAGGAGCTAATTAAGTCTTTTGACCTCGCAGTAAGTTTATTTACGACATAATCAGATAATGGAAAATTTCATTTTTCTTTCTGTGGTTTACTTTTGAAGAAACACAATTCCCGCAAAAAAAAAAAGCAAATAGCCTCCCCGCAGACGTCCTTTGGGGTTCGTTTGATGCGTGACAAACGAACCCTAAAGGACGTCTGCGGGGAGGCTAAAAAGCAAAGTGATTTTATTAACGTTATCTTTGAAATAGCCTCAAATGCGCGATTTTGCGAAAAAAAAAAAAAGAGAGCAAAAAGGCGAAAACAATAATAGCGTGCTGCATTGCTTAGTTTTCTACCAACATCATATTAATTAGGATCGTCGTGCATTCTTGCCAACCAGTGGTTGAAGCGCTCTCATAGCGTCTAAGCATGACTGCCCGGCCGTAATATGACAGATCTAAGAGCTTTGGTGAACTGGAGGTAAATGTCCCGAGAACAATAGCCATTCTGCGCGATGAAACCCACCATGGAGGACCAGAGGATCACTCCGCTGGCCTCTACCCTTCGATCTGTTTAGCATGGGTGGCCCTACGGCCCCGCCAGGAGTATAAAAACCCAGCCGACATGAGCTCTTAGGATCAGAGAAACAGTGCAAACGTCCCACCACGGTACTGTAGTTATTCCCGTCTGGAAGGGATTATAGCTGCCATTTATAAGTCTCAGGCGTTTTTTTCCAACAGAGTTGTTTTCATTTTTTTGCTCTCTATCAAGAGAGGATAATGAAACATTACTCTCTCTTATCTCTATTGATACCTTTTTCCCTTACCCTTCCAGTGTAGTAGTAGTAGCCTTGAGGAACAGAGAGGGATCAAGGAAACACTTCAGCGACATCTTAGCAGATTAACCGTAATTACCATCTTTATTTCTCAACAGCCTGCAATCGAGATGTCGAAAAGGGAGATACTCACGCAGAAGAAATGGAAAACCCTGAAAGCTTCATGTTAAAAAATATTTCAGAAACGGAAAACCCTGGAGGCCCCATGTTAAACAATATTTCAGAAAAGGAGAACCCTGCAAGCCCCATGTAAAAAAATGTTTCATAAAAGATTTTCCACATCGTACAGTTAATTTTTTTTTTTTTTTTTATAGGATTGAGGGCCTCTTCACATGAGCCAGGCAGAACGGGCTGCATGGCCCGGTTCACGCCGGGACCATTTTCGCCTTGGGTTCACACGAGAAATTTCAGCCCGGTTTCCGAAATGAATTTAAAAGTTCCAAAGATCCTGGGGACGAGTTATGGCGCCAATTTCGAGAAACAACGCAAACATTGCGGAAAACAAAAATTAACGAGCATTCGCGCCTTTCATAGCTTTGGCAACTCTTATAGCTGTATCACTGCAGTAAAATGAAATTCTTATTATTTGGAAAATACAGCAGGCAATGGGACGATGCCGTCCAGGCCGCCAGAATTCATCCCGCTTTCATCCCGGTAACCGGGCTGAAGTGCTCATATGGCCAAAAATTTTTAAAACACTCAACGAGATCCAGGTTGGAAAAACGGAGATCTCGGGAACCGAGCCAGCCCGCCCTCTCATATGAACACATCGAAAATTTTATAAAGGATTTAGAGGTAAGTCGAGATCTCAGAAAACCAGCTCGGTCAACCGGGCTCATGTGAAGCGGCCGTGAGAATCTCTTCTTGTTGTTTGAAATGTGCACGTGTGGTTGAATTATGAGGCGTGGTTGTCCCTGTGATTCCGGCTTTAAGTAATATGTACTAACAGTAACAATGATGTCTTCATGAAAATAAAATAAAGAGCCGTTGTTAAATAATTGCGTATTATTTCTTATTGACCGATCATTTTATTTATATTTTCAAAATGTGCTGATTGCTCGGCATCTCATGAAAATTCCGAAAACCCTTAGTAGCGCAAACGTCTTCAGAAAACTGAAATCACAACAGGCAAAAAAAAAATATAAAGAAAATCATGAAAGAAATAAAGGAACAGCGCGTTTTGAAAATGGCAACATTTGTTTGCTTCGCTCTAGAAGCTAAGTTGCATGGTTTCAAGTTAGCA